GCAACGACAACATGTCGACGACCCGAACCTACATCCAGTGCACCGCCGCCATCAGCCGGCAGGCCGGGCACCGCATCGGTGAGAATACCCGTAGTTATTCAATACTGCAGATAAATACCACTTCTCCAAACTTTTCCCAAACATTTTCCAAACATTTCCCCAAACATTTCCCAAACATTTTCCAAACATTTCCCCAAACTTTTCCCAAACATTTTCCAAACATTTCCCCAAACATTTCCCAAACTTTTTCCCAAACTTTTCCAGACGTTTTTCAAAAATATTTTCTGACATTTTTCCCAAACATTTCCGCAAACTTTTTCCCAAACTTTTTTCCAAACATTTCCCAAACTTTTCCAAACTTTTTTCAAACTTTTCCAAACGTTTTTCAAAAATATTTTCTGAACTTTTTATAAAGCATTTTGCGGACTTTTACCAAAAATGTTTCCGAAGTTTTTCTGATTTTTTTTTTTAACTTTTTCAAAAAAGAAATCGAAACATTTTCCCCAATTTTTTTCTCTGACACATTTCCCCCCCCAAAAAATCCCCCAAATTCTCCAAACATTTTACCAGACATTTTACAAAAAAAACTCCGAAATGAAAACAAATAAAACAAAAATACCAATTCCAATATTTGTATTTCAAAATCATTCTAAAAAAGGTTTTGGGAAAAAATCTCAGACAGAACATTTTGGAAAGTAAAAGTATTGCAAATAAAAGGTCAGACTCGCATCACTCTTCTTATTTAAAATCTGTGCTCTAAACCCCTGTGTGTTTCAGGCGAGTACCTGGAGAAGATCATCCCCCTGGTGGTGAAGTTCTGCAACGTGGACGACGACGAGCTCAGAGAATACTGCATCCAGGCCTTCGAGTCCTTCGTCAGGAGGTAGTACTCGCAGTAATACTCACTCTGAGTACTTCTACACGTGTACTTCCTGTTATTAAACCGCGTCACGTCTCTCTTACAGGTGTCCTAAAGAAGTTTACCCCCACGTTGCCACAGTGATCTCCATCTGCCTGCGCTACCTGACCTACGACCCCAACTACAACTTCGACGATGAAGATGAGGACGACAACGCAATGGACGCCGAGCAGAACGACGAAGACTACCAAGGTATTGGAATAAAAGCAAAATCACAATGTATGGAAGCGAGGGCTGCGATACTTTTGAGTTTCTAGAAAAGCGCTCTATAAATAAAATGCATTATTATTATTACTTGTGTGTGATACTAACAGTGTGTGTGTATCTGTGTGTGTGTGCAGGAAGTGATGATGAGTACAGTGATGATGATGATATGAGCTGGAAGGTTCGTCGTGCGGCGGCTAAATGTCTCGATGCTGTCGTTTCGACTCGCCACGAAATGCTTCCCGAGTTTTATCGCTCCGTCTCTCCCGCACTCGTCTGCCGCTTCAAGGTGAATATAAGTTTACATTTTTAGAGAACAACTTTAATTCAAATCTGAAATCAGTTTTTTAAATTGTATTTCTTTTGATAGATGATGTAAAAAAAGAGATGTGAAAATGATGTCAAAGGTTTCGAAGGACTATTTGAACAATGCCCCGCGATGTGTATTGTGTTTTGTCCAAATTGAGGTTGGCAAAGTAACCCTAATCTGTACGATGTATCCCTACCTATTAATTTGATATACGTGTGAAATGGTTGTTAATCGGATCTGTGTGTGTTTTTCTTAAAAGGAGAGGGAGGAGAACGTGAAGGCGGATGTTTTCCACGCCTACCTGTCGCTGCTCAAACAGACGCGCCCGGCTCAGAGCTGGCTGACCGACCCCGACGCCATGGAGCAGGGAGACACGCCGCTCACCATGCTGCAGAGCCAGGTACCACGCTAACAGATACAACATTTCTAATGATAAGGTTAAGCTATAAAGGAACTGCAGCACGGTCACGTGACTTCACGCCACCACCGCTAAGCTAAAGGTGGCTAATGTTGGGCTATAAAGGAACTTACAGCACGGTGACATGACTTCACGTCACCACCGCTAAGCTAAAGGCGGCTAATGTTGGGCTATAAAGGAACTAGAGCACGGTCACATGACTTCACGTCACCACCGCTAAGCTAAAGGCGGCTAATGTTGGGCTATAACCGCTAAGCTAAAGGCGGCTAATGTTGGGCTATAAAGGAACTACAGCACGGTCACATGACTTCACGTCACCACCGCTAAGCTAAAGGTTGCTAATGTTGGGCTATAACCGCTAAGCTAAAGATGGCTAATGTTGGGCTATAAAGGAACTACAGCACGGTCACATGACTTCACGTCACCACCGCTAAGCTAAAGGTGGCTAATGGGCGTTCTTATATTGGGCGTGATGATGTTTAGTCGTCTCATTTAGACACTTGTTAGCAACCGCCCTTTTTAAATTCACCAGTGGTGTATTTACTGACGTATTTTTATTTCGTGGAACAAAACGAGGAACAGGAAGTGAACACATTTATTAATATTGTTTCTCTCTCTTTCTTCAGGTCCCTATGATCGTGAAGGCTCTCCACAAGCAGCTGAAGGAGAAGAGTGTGAAAACTCGTCAATGTTGTTTCAACATGCTGACGGAGCTCGTTAACGTTCTGCCCGGAGCGCTGACCGCCCACATCCCTGTACTAATACCAGGTAATAACACCACCACTTAAAAGGTACTACTTTTAAATTACATTAGAAACTAAAAATACATGTATTTATTAGGAATAGCTTTAAAGGCGGATGGATCCATATTTGAAGCTTTAGAGCATATTTGCTACACAAACAATACTTTTTAGGAGATATATTCATTATTATATAATATTGTAACATTATTAGTATAATTATATATTTTTTAAATATATTTCTATAATTCTTACTATTTTAACCATTATAGAAACATCTTAACTTCCCCAGAATAATAAAAAAAAAGTCTAAATTAATCACACCAATAATAAGGAATATATCTACAAAATAATTTGTTATATTGTAGTTATTATTATCATTATTTTAAATATTATCTCTATTATTAATATCAGTATTTTTCTCAAATAGAGCAACTGTCCTTAACCCATAACAAGTCTTAATAAATCCAAATATATTTAATCTCCAGTTTGATTGATAATGTCTGTGTTTCCAGGCATCATCTTCTCTCTGAACGATAAGTCGAGCAGCTCGAACCTGAAGATCGACGCTCTGTCCTGCCTTCACGTCGTCATGGTTACGCACCCGGCGCACGCTTTCCACGCTCACGTTCCCGCGCTCGTCCCGCCCGTGGTGGCCTGCGTGGGAGACCCCTTTTACAAAATCACCTCTGAGGCGCTGCTCGTCACCCAGCAGCTGGTGAAGGTGATTCGCCCTCTGGACAGCCTACCAGAGAGCTCGGACAGCTTTGACCCCTCCCCCTACATCAGCGACCTGTTCACCTGCACCATCAAACGCCTGAAGGCCGCCGACATCGACCAGGAAGTGAAGGAGCGCGCCATCTCCTGCATGGGACAGATCATCTGCAACCTCGGTAACCAGCCCTTATTCTCTGATGTCACTTCCTGTTTGTCTGGGTTGACTTTCAGGAGGGTTTTTGTTGTTTTTAATAGTTTTTAACGTTGTATCTGACTTTGTTTCTAAAGTTGTTTTTAACGTTGTTTCTTAGGTTGTTTTTAAGAGTTTCTAACGTTGATTTTAACGTTGTTTCTTAGGTTGTTTTTAAAAGTTTCTAACATTGTTTTTAACGTTGTTTCTAAGGTTGTTTTTAGGAGTTTCTAACGTTGTTTTTAACGTTGTTTTTAAAAGTTTCTAACATTGTTTTTAACGTTGTTTCAAACAGTTTCTAACGTTAACGTTGTTTTTAACAGTTTCTAATGTTGTTTCCGATGTTGTTTTTAACAGTTTCTAATGTTGTTTTAAACAGCTTTTAATGTTGTCTGAAGCAGTTTCTGACGTTGTTAACGTTGTTTTTAACAGTTTCTAACGTTGTTTCTAACGTTGCTTTCTGCCTGCAGGCGACCGGCTGCCGGCTGAACTCCCCGGCACGCTGCTGATCTTTTTGGAGCGTCTGAAGAACGAGATCACCCGACTGACCACGGTGAAAGGTACGCTCCTTTACGAGTAAAACAAATGAGGAAAATGTCAGAATAAATCTAAATACGGTTGAGGTGATGTTGGTGTAAAAACGTATTAAAGAAATGGTCTGTCATTTGTGGTGTCAGGAAGGAAATACGTGTTGACCAATAATGAAATTAAAATAGCCTCTCCCCAGAGCTTTACTGTCATCAGGAAGTCTTTTATAAATCATTTCTCTGAAGTTCTTTCCCTCCTCTCCCGTTTCTCTCAGCTCTGACTCTGATCGCCGGCTCTTCTCTGAAGATCGACCTCCGGCCCGTCCTCCCCGACGCCGTGCCCATCCTCGCTTCCTTCCTGCGCAAAAACCAGCGAGCTCTGAAGCTTTGCACGCTGGCAGCGCTCGACATCCTGCTCAGGAACTACAGGTACAGAGAATACTGAACATTTGAATAATTCAAACTTAGCTGCAAAAGTTGTATCAACAAAAGCAAATAAATAAAAGCAAATATATCATATCCGGTTTATTTAACAGAAAAAGATTCTTCAAAAATCAAGGAGATTATAATGAAAATACAGAAAAGTTACAAGAATACAATCCATAAGTGACCTGCTCCATCGAAATCAGTCGCATTGACACATCTTGAGTTGTATACACTCCTGGAAAGAGGAGATTCCTAGCTTTCTAATGATATCAGGATGGTTGTTGTTCTCCAAATATTAAGCAAAATATGTCACATTATAAAATGACTGTCACGAGTCATCATTTTGAGAAAAAGGCCTTCAAGTTTCCTCCTGTCTGGAATCCATCGATCTGATTGGTTATTAGCAAATGATCAAAATACTACGGAGGGAAGATATTTTCGTTTAAAATAAATAAAAATAAACAACATAAAAATAAAAAAGAAGACTCTAAAAATAATATAAAATAAATATGTTAAATATATATATATTAAAGAAATGCCGTCGTGTGACTCTTCAGCTCCGCGGTGACCCCGGTGATGGTGGACGCGGTGCTGGCCGAGCTGCCCCCCCTCATCTCAGAGAGCGACATGCACGTGTCCCAGATGGCGCTCAGCTTCCTGTCCACGCTCGCCGTCACGCACCCCTCAGCGCTCGGTCAGCTGAGCGGGGGGAACATCCTGCAGCAGCTCATCGCACTGGTTCGATCCCCGCTGCTGCAGGGGGGGGCGCTGTCCGCCATGCTCGACTTCTACCAGGTGTGTGGTTTAAAGCATATTAATGTATAAAATACATTTTTTTTTTAAAGTGCATTTCGTATGATAGGAGACCTTTAAACCATTATCAGTGTAGGAGGGCTGTAATGTGTGTGTGTGTGCAGGCGCTGGTGTCCACTGAGACCCCCGGCCTCGGCTACATGGACCTCCTGAGGATGCTGACGGGTCCGGTGTATTCCCAGAGTGCCGCGCTGCCTCACAAGCAGGCGTACTGCTCCATCGCCAAGTGTGTGGCCGCGCTGACGCGAGCCTGTCCTGACGAGGGGCCGGCCGTGGTGGGCCAGTTCATACAGGTACACACACTTTCATTATTATATATAGATTCAAGTTTCTAGGCTCTATTGTCATTTGCTCTGCAGCTACAGTGTAGATATGTCAATGACAAACTGAAGTCCCAGGCTCCTCCAACAGAGCAACATAGATATATAGGACATAGAACAAATAGAAATAGTGCAAGAAGAGTCTATACACAAGTAAATGGAATATGATATATTAGATCAATAATTTGTAAGATGCAAACAGATGAATGTTATGGATGTTCTTTACAGAGTTCAGGTGTTTAATAGTCTGATGGCCTGTGGGATGAAACTGTTCATCAAACATTATAAAACAGAACTGACAAGATGGTAATTATGATTTCTTTCTCTCTTTCTTCAGGACGTGAAGAACAGCCGCTCCACGGACTCCATCCGGCTGCTCGCTCTGCTCTCATTGGGCGAGGTGGGACACCATGTGGACCTCAGCAGCCAACCAGAGCTCAAGACCGTCATCCTGGACGCCTTCTCCTCCTCCAGCGAAGAGGTGACAGGAAGTGACCTCACAGGAGTTTGATAAGGCAGCAGGGTGCCGTTCTGTATTAACCCGTGTGTGTGTGTGTGTGTGTGTGTGTGTGTGTGTGTGTGTGTGTGTGTGTGTGTGTGTGTGTGTGTGTGTGTGTGTGTGTGTGTGTGTGTGTGTGTGTGTCTCAGGTGAAGTCAGCAGCATCGTACGCTCTGGGCAGCATCGCGGTGGGGAAATGCTTCCGGAGTATTGCCCCTTCGTCCTGCAGGAGATCACTTCCTCATAAGAGACAATACCTCTGGCTGCACTCCCCTCAAGAGATCATAGTGAGCCACACACACTCTGACAATACACACACACATTATCATAAACACACTCTGACAATAACACACACACATGATCACACACACACTCTGACAATACAACAACACATCTGACATACACACACACCTGATCACACACCACAATCTATCAATACACACACACCTGATCACACACACACTCTGACAATACACACACACCCTG